TCATGAAGAGCTCAAATCACTGTTACAGAGCGATCTGGATCACTTGGTAAGCTGGGCACCAGCAAACAATATGCATTTTAATATGGCTAAATGTAAATGTATATATGGAGGAACAAAGAATGTAGACCATACTTAGGGTATGTCTACACTATGAAATTAGGTACAATTTATAGAAGTCGGTTTTTTAGAAATCGTTTTTATACAGTCAATTGTGTGTGTCCCCACACAAAATGCTCTAAGTGCATTAAGTGCATTAACTTGGCGGAGTGCTTCCACAGTACCGAGGCTCGCATCGACTTCCAGAGTGCTGCACTGTGGGTAGCTATCCCACAGTTCCCGCAGTATCTGCCGCCCATTGGAATTCTGGGTTGAGATCCCAATGCCTGATGGGGCAAAAAACATTGTCGCAGGTGGTTCTGGGTACATGTCATCAAGCCCTGCCTTCCTCCTTCCCTCCGTGAAAGCAACAGCAGACAATTGTTTTGCGCCTTTTTTCCTGAGTTACCTGTGCAGACGCCATACCATGGCAAGCATGGAGCCCGCTCAGCTCACTGTCACCGTATGTCTCCTGCGTGCTGGCAGACGCGGTACTGCATTGCTACACAGCAGCAGCAACCCATTGCCTTGTGGCAGCAGATGGTGCAATAGGCCTGATAACCATCATCATCATGTCCGAGGTGCTCCTGGCTGCCACGGTAAGGTCAGTCAGGAGCGCCTGGGCAGACATGGGCGCAGGAACTAAATTAGGAGTGACTCGACCAGGTCATTCTCTTTAGTCCTGCTGGCAGTCCTATTGCACCATCTTCTGCCGAGCAGGCAGGAGATGAGGATGGCGTGCAGTCCTACTGCACTGTCTGCTGCCAGCCAAAGATGTAAAAGATAGAATCATAGAATCATAGAATATCAGGGTTGGAAGGGAACTCAGGAGGTCATCTAGTCCAACCCCCTGCTCAAAAGCAGGACCAATCCCCAATTAAATCATCCCAGCCAGGGCTTTGTCAAGCCTGACCTTAAAAACTTCTAAGGAAGGAGATTCCACCACCTCCCTAGGTAACGCATTCCAGTGTTTCACCACCCTCCTAGTGAAAAAGTTTTTTTCCTAATATCCAACCTAAACCTCCCCCACTGCAACTTGAGACCATTACTCCTTGTTCTGTCCTCTTCTACCACTGAGAATAGTCTAGAACCATCCTCTCTGGAACCACCTCTCAGGTAGTTGAAAGCAGCTATCAAATCCCCCCTCATTCTTCTCTTCTGCAGACTAAACAATCCCAGTTCCCTCAGCCTCTCCTCATAAGTCATGTGTTCCAGAGCCCTAATCATTTTTGTTGCCCTTCGCTGGACTCTTTCCAATTTGTCCACATCCTTCTTGTAGTGTGGGGCCCAAAACTGGACACAGTACTCCAGATGAGGCCTCACCAATGTCAAATAGAGGGGGACGATCACATCCCTCGATCTGCTCGTTATGCCCCTACTTATACATCCCAAAATGCCATTGGCCTTCTTGGCAACAAGGGCACACTGCTGACTCATATCCAGCTTCTCGTTCACTGTCACCCCTAGGTCCTTTTCCGCAGAACTGCTGCCTAGCCATTCGGTCCCTAGTCTGTAGCTGTGCATTGGGTTCTTCCGTCCTAAGTGCAGGACCCTTCACTTATCCTTATTGAACCTCATCAGATTTCTTTTGGCCCAATCCTCCAATTTGTCTAGGTCCCTCTGTATCCTATCCCTGCCCTCCAGCATATCATACTCCTCCCAGTTTAGTATCATCCGCAAATTTGCTGAGAGTGCAATCCACACCATCCTCCAGATCATTTATGAAGATATTGAACAAAACCAGCCCCAGGACCGACCCCTGGGGCACTCCACTTGACACCGGCTGCCAACTAGACATGGAGCCATTGATCAGTACCCGTTGAGCCCGACAATCTAGCCAACTTTCTACCCACCTTATAGTGCATTCATCCAGCCCATACTTCTTTAACTTGCTGACAAGAATACTGTGGGAGACCGTGTCAAAAGCTTTGCTAAAGTCAAGAAACAATACATCCACTGCTTTCCCTTCATCCACAGAACCAGTAATCTCATCATAGAAGGCGATTAGATTAGTCAGGCATGACCTTCCCTTGGTGAATCCACGCTGACTGTTCCTGATCACTTTCCTCTCCTCTAAGTGCTTCAGGATTGATTCTTTGAGGACCTGCTCCATGATTTTTCCGGGGACTGAAGTGAGGCTGACTGGCCTGTAGTTCCCAGGATCCTCCTTCTTCCCTTTTTTAAAGATTGGCACTACATTAGCCTTTTTCCAGTCATCTGGGACTTCCCCCGTTCGCCATGAGTTTTCAAAGATAATGGCCAATGGCTCTGCAATCACAGCCGCCAGTTCCTTTAGCACTCTCGGATGCAACTCGTCCGGCCCCATGGACTTGTGCACGTCCAGCTTTTCTAAACAGTCCCTAACCACCTCTTTCTCCACAGAGGGCTGGCCATCTATTCCCCATGTTGTGATGCCCAGTGCAGCAGTCTGGGAGCTGACCTTGTTAGTGAAGACAGAGGCAAAAAAAGCATTGAGATGGAGTGGATCAAAACAAGAAATACACCAGAAATACACCAGAACAATTCATTTGCTCCCCCCTCCCTCCCTCCATGACATCAATGGCCGACAATCGTTTCAGTGAGGTCTCTCACAGGCACCTTGAAAAGTTTAATGGAGATTCAGTCCCTCCTGAAATACCAGGGGGAGGGATAGCTCAGTGGGTTGAGCATTGGCCTGCTAAACCCAGGGTTTTGAGTTCAATCCTTGAGGGGGCCATTCTGTTTGACAGTTGTTTTTGTTTCTTCTTGATGTAAAGCCACCCCCTTTGTTGATTGTAGTTCCCTGTAAGCCAACCCTATAAGCCATGTCGTCAGTCGCCCCTCCCACCATCAGAGCAATAGCAGACAATCATTCCACACCTTTTTTCTGTGCAGACGCCATACCACAGCAAGCATGGAGCCTGCTCAGATCACTTTGGCAGTTAGGAGCACATTAAACACCACGCACATTATTCCAGCAGTATATGCAGCACCAGAACCTGGCAAAGTGAAACCAGGTGAGTAGGCGACATCAGCATGGTGACAAGAGTGATGAGGACATGGACACAGACTTCTCTCAAAGCACGGGCCCTGGCAATGTGGGAATCATGGTGCTAATGGGGAAAGTTCATGCGGTGGAATGCAGATTCTGGGCCTGGGAAACAAGCACAGATTGTTGGGACCACAAAGTGTTGCAGGTCTGGGACGATTCCCAGTGGCTGCGAAACTTTCACAACTATAAGGGCACTTTCATGGAACTTTGTGAGTGGCTTTCCCCTGCCCTGAAGTGCAAGAATACCAAGATGAGAGCAGCCCTCACAATTGAGAAGCGAGTGGCAATAGCCCTGTGGAAGCTTGCAACACCTGACAGCTATTGGTCAGTCGGGAATCAATTTGGAATGGGCAAATCTACTGTGGGGGCTGCTGTGATCCAAGTAGCCAATGCAATCACTGAGCTGCTGCTATCAAGGGTAGTGACTATGGGAAATGTGCAGGTCATAGTGATGGCTTTGCTGCAATGGGATTCCCAAACTGTGGTGGGGCAATAGATGGAATGCATATCCCTATCTTGGGACCGGACCACCTTGGCAGCCAGTACATAAACTAAAAGGGGTACTTTTCAATGATGCTGCAAGCATTGGTGGATCACAAGGGACATTTCACCAACATCAATGTGGGATAGCCGGGAAGGGTACATGACATTCGCATCTTCAGGAACTCTGGTCTGTTTCAAAAGCTGCAGGAAGGGACTTTATTCCCAGACCAGAAAATAACCGGTTTCAGAGTAGCAGCCTTGTTAGTCTGTATTCAAAAAAAGAAAAGGAGTACTTGTGGCACCTTAGAGACTAACCAATTTATTTGAGCATAAGCTTTTGTGAGCTACAGCTCACTTCATCGGATGCATTCAGTGGAAAATACAGTGAGGAGATTTATATACACACAGTACATGAAAAAATGGGTATTATCATATACACTCGAAAGAGAGTGATCACTTAAGATGAGCTATTACCAGCAGGCGAGCGGGGGGGAAAAACCTTTTGTAGTGATAATCAAGGTGGGCGATTTCCAGCAGTTAACAGGAACATCCGAGGAACAGTCGGGGGTGTGTGTGGGAGAAATAAACATGGGGAAATAGTTTTACTTTGTGTAGACACCACTGACTTCCTGAGGAAACTACAATCCATCGGTGATCTTCCTGAAAACAACATCCTGGCCACTATGGTTTTAGAAGCCCTCTACACCAACATTCCACACAAAGATGGACTACAAGCTGTCAGGAACAGTATCCCCGATAATGTCATGACAAACCTGGTGGCTGAACTTTGTGACTTTGTCCTCACCCACAACTATTTCACATTTGGGGACAATGTATACCTTCAAATCAGCGGCACTGCTATGGGTATCCACATGGCCCCACAGTATGCCAACATTTTTATGGCTGACTTAGAAAAACGCTTGGTCAGCTCTCATCCCCTAAGGCCCCTACTCTACTTGCGCTACATTGATGACATCTTCATCATCTGGACCCATGGAAAAGAAGCCCTTGAGGAATTCCACCATGATTTCAACAATTTCCATCACAACATCAACCTCAGCCTGGACAAGAGATCCACTTCCTGGACACTACAGCGCTAATAAGCAATGGATGTGCATTTGGACATTTAAAAGTGCACTGGCGCAGTTTACTGACTCGGTTAGACCTCAGCTAAACCAATATTCCCACTATATTACTGCTTGCTGTGCTCTCCACAATATCTGTGAGAGTAAGGGGGAGAAGTTTATGGCGGGGTGGGGGGTTGAGGCAAATTGCCTGGCTGCTGGTTACATGCAGCCAAGACACCAGGGAGGTTAGAAGAGCACAGGAGGGCGCGGTGCGCATCAGAGAAGCTTTGAAAACCAGTTTCATGAGTGGTCAGGCTACGGTGTGAAAATTCTGTTTGTTTCTCCTTGATGAACCCTCCCCATCCCCTTGGTTCACTCTACTACCCTGTGAGCTAACCACCCTCCCCTCCTCCCTTCGATCACCACTTGCAGAGGCAATAAAGTCATTTTTGCTTCACATTCATGCGTTCTTTATTAATTCATCACACAAATAGGGGGATAACTGCCAAGGCAGCCTGGGAGGGGTGGTGGAGGAGGGAAGGACAAGGCCACACAGAACTTTAAAAGTTTAAAACTTTAAAACTTATTGAATGCCAGCCTTCTGTTGCTTGGGCAATCCTCTGGGGTGGAGTGGCTGGGTGGCCGGAGGGCCCCCCACCATGTTCTTGGGCATCTGGGTGAGGAGGCTATGGAAGTTGGGAAGGAGGGTGGTTGGTTACACAGGGGCTGTAGCAGCGGTCTGTGCTCCTGCTGCCTTTCCTGCAGCTCAGCCATATGCTGGAGCATATTAGTGTGATCCTCCAGCAGCCTCAGCATTGAATCCTGCCTTCTCTCATCATGCTGCCACCACCTTTCAGCTTCAGCCCTCTCTTCAGCCCTCCACTTACTCTCTTCAGCCCGCCACCTCTCCTCCCGGTCATTTTGTGCTTTCCTGCTCTCTGACATTGTCTGCCTCCATGCATTCGTCTGTGCTCTGTCAGTGTGGGAGGACAGCATAAGCTCAGAGAACATTTAATCGCAAGTGCATTTTTTTCGCCTTCTAATCTTCGCTAGCCTCTGGGAAGGAGAAGATCCTGTGATCCTTGAAACACATGCAGCTGATGGAGGAAAAAAAAGGGACAGTGGTATTTAAAAAGACACATTTTATAGAACAATTGGCACACTCTTTCACGGTAAACCTTGCTGTTAACATTACATACATAGCACATGTGCTTTCATTCCAAGGTCGCATTTTGCCTCCCCCCAGCACGTGGCTAGCCCCTCCCCCCTCCCATGGCTAACAGTAGGGAACATTTCTGTTCAGCTACATGCAAACAGCCCAGCAGGAACGGACACCTCTGAATGTCCCCTTAAGAAAAGCACCCTATTTCAACCAGGTGACCATGAATAATATCACTCTCCTGAGGATAACACAGAGAGATAAAGAACGGATGTTGTTTGAATGCCAGCAAACATACACTGCAATGCTTTGTTCTACAATGATTCTCGAGTACGTGCTACTGGCCTGGAGTGGTAAAGTGTCCTACCATGGTGGATGGAATAAGGATGCCCTCCCCCGAAACCGTTTGCAAAGGCTTTGGGAGTACATCCAGGAGAGCCGCGATTGCCAGGGCAAATTAATCATTAAACATGCTTGCTTTTAAACCATGTATGCTATTTAAAAAGGTACATTCACCAGAAGTCCCTTCTCCGCCTGGCGGGTCTGGAAGGCAGTCTTGGGTGGGTTCAGGGGGTACTGGCTCCAGGTCTGGGGTGAGAAACAGTTCCTGGCTGTCGGGAAAACTGGTTTCTCCACTTGCTTGCTGTGTGCTATCTACAACTTCATCATCATCATCATCTTCCTCGTCCCCAACACCTGCTTCCATGTTACCTCCATCTCCATTGAAGGAGTCAAACAACACGGTTGGGGTAGTGGTGGCTGAACCCCCTAAAATGGCATACAGCTCATCATAGAAGTGGCATGTTTGGGGCTCTGACCCGGAGCGGCCATTTGCCTCTCTGGTTTTCTGGTAGGCTTGCCTGAGCTCCTTAAGTTTCACGTGGCACTGCTTCGGGTCCCTGTTATTGCCTCTGTTCTTCATGCCCTGGGAGATTTGGACAAATGTTTTGGCATTTCGAAAACTGGAACAGAGTTCTGATAGCACGGATTCATCTCCCCTTACAGTGATCAGATCCCATACCTCCCGTTTGGTCTATGCTGGAGCTCTTTTTTGATTCTGGGACTCCATCATAGTCACCTCTGCTGATGAGCTCTGCACTCACCTGCAGCTTGCCACGCTGGCCAAACAGGAAATGAAATTCAAAAGTTCATAGGCCTTTTCCTGTCTACCTGGCCAGTGCATCTGAGTTGAGAGTGCTGTCCAGAGCGGTCACAATGGAGCACTCTGGGATAGCTCCTGGAGGCCAATACCATCTAATTGCGTCCACAGTACCCCAAATGCGACCAGGCAAGGCTGATTTCAGTGCTAATCCCCTTGTCGGGGGTGGCGTAAGGAAATCGATTTTAAGAGCCCTTTAAGTAAATAAAAAGGTCTTTGTTTTGTGGATGGGAGCAGGGTTAAATGATTTAATGCTGCTAAATCCAACCTCAATTCCTAGTGTAGACCAGGGCTTAGAGGATGGAGGTCTATACTGGGAAACAGGGACTGAAAAGGATTTTGGGTTGTTGGTGGTTAATTAGCTGAAGATCTACTCCCAGTGTGCCACTGTGACCAAAAGGGTTAATGTAATCCTTGAAAGCATAACCGAGGGACTTGAATAGGAGTTGAAAATTTATTTTACCTCTGTATTTGGCACTGGTGTGATCACTGCTCGAATACTGTGTCCAGTTCTGGCATCCACAATTCCAGAAGGATATTGGCAAACTGGAGAGTGTTTGAGAAGAACTGCAAGAATGATTATAGGATTAGAAAATTTACTTTATAGTGATAGATTCAAAGAGCTCAATCTATTTAGCTTAAAAAAGAGACTGTTAAGGGGTGACTTAATTACAACCTATAAGTGCTATATGGAGAAAAATATTTAGTAATAGGCTCTTCAATCTCGTAGAGAAAAGTATAACACAGTCCAATGGCTGGAAGTTGATGCTAGGCCCATCCAGACTGGAAATAAGGTGGATATTTTTAACAGTTAGAGTAACTAACATTTAGAACAATTTACCAGAGGTTGTGATGGATTCTCCTTCACTGACAATTTTTAAGTCAAGATAGGTATTTTTCTAAAAGCTATGCCCTAGGAATTATTTTGGGGAAGTTCTATGGCCTGTGATATACAGGTCAGACTAGAAGATCACAATGATCCCTTCTGGCCTTGTAATCTATGAATATATTAATCTCTGACCTGTTCACAGATATATTTATGGGCAGAAAAAAAGAGGCTATTTGTTGAATAAATGATCTATTACCTATTTAGGGTCCGATTGTGCGTGTAGTTACATCCATACAAACTTATTAATGTCAATAGGCCTATTGAGGGCATAAGTTAGCTCACACAGTTCTATGGCCCCTCTACATAGCAACTATAAAGTGGCTTGAAGACACTGCTTCCCAGGACATGATGCCATCTTATTTACACTGCTGAAAGTTAGGGATGATTCCCCTGAAACTGACAGTTTTAGTAGCATAAAATTGGTGTAAGAGGAGAAGCAGCCCCTTTAAAGCTCTTACCTTTGCAAATGATTGGCTTAGAAATAATTTAATGCCATACACAAGTATATTGGTCACCCATGATATAGTATATTAGCACCTGCCACTGAGAAAAAATACCTCAGAGGATACTAGTACTTGGCACTCACAGAGTGCTTTCTGTTTTTCTGTGCTTTCTGTGCAAACATTATTTAATGAATCCGCACCACTGGGAGACAGGTAAGTATTCGTCTCATTTTATAGATGGGGCAACTGAAAGTTTATATGATTACCTCAAAGTCACACACTGTGTCAGTTGCAGGATTAGACCTCAGCAGTTCTTGGCTCCAGCCCTGGGTGCAGTCCACTAGACCATTCTGCCTCACTTGAAAAGAAGCAATTGTCCAACCCTAGGAAAGAATGAAAAGATAGGAAAACAGGCTACGAACACTAGAGACAGATACATTGAGTATTTTCTATGGACCTCATGAGAGCTGTAAAGATCTCAGATGCTCTGTTGGAGATTCTGGAGGAGATAGGGCAACCTTTCTGCACCTACCGAATACCAACACCCATTCACATGCAAACATTGTTGAGTTTTCTTTGTCATGATCTTTAAAAAACTATGGATGTGATTCTCCACTACTTTATGCCTTATGTAATCACAAACCCACTTTGCACTCTCTCTGCACTGATGCAAGGGGACAATCAGATCTATAACTTTTTCTGCATCAGCCTTTTCTAGAGCTCCTGGAACAAAAACTATCCCCCAGTCCCATCTATACCCAGCTAGTTTGATCAGTACTTCAAATACCAGTAAACTTATTTAAGCTATGACTCTGGGCCCTCTCAGCCCATCTCTCAAGCAGTAAAGTTTCTTCATTGCAGCAAATATACAAGTCATGGAGTAAAGAGCTGCTTCTTTCTTCTCCTCACTGCCTGAGCACCAGCAAGGGATACACTGAAGGTATGTCTACACTGCAGTAAAACACCCGCGTCTGGCCCATTTCTGCTGACTCATGGGTCTCAGAGTCTGGGCTCCAGCATGAGCCTAAATATCTACACTGCAATTTTATAGCCCCACAGACTGAGTCCTGCAAACCTGAATCAGCTGATAAAGGCCAGCTACTGGTTTTTTATTGCTGCAAATAATGCCCTTGCCCTTTTGCATTGTGTGAAGCCCTTTCCTGCTATGCTGAATTCAGGTGGCTCAGATGAATACACATTAATCTGATAATGGTAAACTAATATTTTATGCTGTTTTCTCTTGCACTATCTCTGTGTACATATCATAACATTTAATGGGGTTCGAAAGAGGCCTGTGTGGTTCTAAACCCAGTAATATTCTCAGCTGAGCACTAGCTGCTTTTATGTGTACTATACATTTCTAAACGTAGCACCCCGTGGAAATGTTGTTTTATACAGCTGATTTGATGGTCCACTAAATCTGCCAACTACCTAGCATCATAAATGGGATGTTAGACTCTTAGATATTCAGAGTGTAGAAGCGGAAATAAAAATCAGCCACCACAAAGAAGACAAAAGATGGAGACCAAGAAGAGCAATAATAAAGCCTCTGTATGCAAATGCAAGTAATCTAGGAAACCAGGAAAATTAGAACTGCCTTATAATCTTGGCAATTGTGCTCTAGTTAGTATAACTAAAACCTGTTGGGATGATTTTTATAGCCAGAATGACAGCATAGGGGAGGGACTGTACCCTTCTGTTCGTACACTATCTAGAACAGTAGGGCTCCTGTCCTCATTCAGGCCTCTAATCGTTACTGCAACATACAGGGCAGATGCTAAAGTGGTATAAATTGGCATAGCTCCATTGATCATAATGATGAAGATCTGAACCTAAAAAAAATCAATGATATTAATTAATTAGTAACAACGAATAGATACAGAATGTATAGGAGAACAGAAAGAAGAGTGGCTCTATGTCTAATGTCAGACCACTACAGATCCACAATGAAGAGAATAGGTCTTAAGTCCTTTGAGTCAGGAAACAAGGAACTGACAATAAAGGCAAAATGATGAGGAGAAGAATGATAATTCGAGAGAAAATTAAAAATTCCTTGGCCAGCTCTCAGGATTATTGAACCCACAGGGAATACTATGTCCAAGGAGGATTTTTAACTACTTCAGTATTTAAGTAATAAATCCAGGGAAATAGGAATTATCAAAGAGGTTCCAAAGTAATAAAGACAACTTTATGATCCAAAATGTGGAGACACCCACTAGAGGGGAAGACAGTGTGGATCTACTCTTATTGACAGATACTTTGATTGAGAATCTGTAAATAATAGGGCAGTATGCAACACCCACTGTGAGCCTCCTGAATTCAGCATAGTAGGAAAGGGTTCACACCACGCAAATTATTTCTGGCAAGGCAATTATAGAAGAACTAAGAAATCTAGATTCTGGTCCATCTACAGTGAGTAGGAACCTATTCATTGATGACAGTGGAGGTAGGATTGTGAGTAAGGTCCATTTAGAGGAGGAAGTATGTTTGATTATCCAGACAGCAGGGTCACATCATATTTGTTCAGACAATTGGGAGTTTGTATAATCAGGAGTCAATGGCAAGGAATAAAAACAGGAAGAAATTACGGACATGTCTTAGACAGAGAGGCCTAGATAATCAAGACACTAGTGTATTAATGTAAAATAACAGGGCGGAAGGGGATCCTACAAGATGCCATAATTAAGTCCAAGAGGCTATCATCATGCCATAAAAGAAGAATATAAGAATTGGCCAATTTTGCTTTATAAGGGGCAGCTCAAGGATCTGAGGTTAAAATGTACAGGGCAACAGTGTCTTCCACATGTTTGAGAGTAAAGACCTCTGAAAAATTTTGCTTTATAAGGGGCAGCTCAAGGATCTGAGGTTAAAATGTACAGGGCAACAGTGTCTTCCACATGTTTGAGAGTAAAGACCTCTGAAAAACTGAGACAAAGCAGTAGCCTCATCCAAGCCCCCGCTTGACAAAGCTCTGGCTGGGATGATTTAGTTGGGGTTGGACTAGATGACCTCATGAGGCCTCTTCCAACCCTAATCTTCTATGATTCTATACCCCAGTACTAGCACTGAGTACAGTCTGAACCAGGACATGCGACTCTATGATCAGGAGCAAATACTATTGCTGCTCAAATCTAGGCCAGGCAGAGCAAGCATGAAATCCACTCTGAGGACTCAGACTGTCTGGAGAGCAGAAACTAAACAGGACATAGAACTGATCCCACCAGAAGAAATGGATTGGTTTCCTACAAAAACAATAAAATAAAAATTAATTTCCTCAAACTGAAATTGCAGAGGGAGTTTATTTGTGTAAAATGTGGCATTTCCATTTGCAGAAATGGGGGTAACAGCATCTAATTTTGTGAATAATGCTATAGGATCATTCTTGACCAGGACTTCAGTTATATTCCTTCTATAAAGGAGTTCTATTAAGAGTGACCCCTTTTGAAGATGTGCACCTTATGATTTCAGGTCAGTGGGAGATGCAAGTGCTCAGCATTTCTGAAAGTCAAGCCACTTAATAAGGTGCCTAAGTACAGATTAAGGGGGAGTACACTGTCTCAGGCACCTACAGATAAAAATATTGCCTTACATTTCTAGATCTTACAATTGTAAAGAAAACCACCCAAAACTTGAATGATGACATCTTGTCCCCTCCTCTGGATAGCAGAGAATAAAAGATCCAAAAGACTATTAAGTCATCTCTAGAACTGGGTGAGAATAGAACTTTCTCATGTTTCTGAAAAAAAAATTATCCTAATTGGGACAAAATGTCAAAACCATACATTTTTCATCAGAAAGAATTTCCAAAAAAAAATCAGCTTTGGGAGAACTGGAAGGCAGATAGAAGTGGAATTGTCAGCCTTCTAGGTGGTCAGCAAGCGAACTGTCATTTCAGTTTTCCATAATGGAAAAAATTCATTTTGACCTGTGCTGATTATCTCAAATTACTACAGTTTCATTCAAAATCAGTCCTAACTCAGGTTCTTATGAAGAAACAACACGCGCACACACACACGGGCATGCACAGGAATTTAAATTTGACTATGTCTGGAGGGGCACATTCTGTATCCCTGCCATGGCCCCAGGACCGGAGGAGCTTGCTCCTCCCTCCCACTTCCCTCCACACGGCCCTGAGGCCGGAGGAGCTCATTCTCCCCACCACATTCCCGGGCCCAGAGGAGTTCTGTGCCCTTGCTGATTATTGGGGTGGGAGGCTGTGCTCCTGCTTGCTTCCCTTTGTGAACGCCTCTGAACACAAGTAAATTTCTTTAGCACCTGTTAGCAAATCACTTTGTTATCAGGTCCTAGAATCTCCATCTGCATCCTCATGTCTGACACAGAAATGATTACAGTATGTCACAGTTATTGCAAGTAGGAAAATATAAAATGTTAGATCACAATATTGCAACAGTTTCTTCACATCACCATGTGATCAAATAGCTGATATAAATATAAATAAGTGAGCATAATACCAGTCAAATACTGTACATATGTAAATAAATCAAAGAAAGCCCCATTTGGATGCTGTAACAGTAGCAACTCTCCGGGTCTAAGCAATAAAATATGCCATATAATTCACAACTCAGAACTCCCAATTGCATTTCTCTGCTATTCACAGTCTCATAATATCCAATTACTATTACAAATGCAATTGCAAAAGTTATGCCAAACAGCTTTACATGCTTGTATCCTCTGAAGATATCTTATAAATTTGCCAATCTTAAATATGTTCTTAATCTCATTAAAAAGTTATCCTGTTACATCGGGAACTTCAGCAAAAGTAACTTTACTTCCTTCAGAATAATATTACTATTACTTCGTTCTTTCCATGGAAACTTTCATTGGAGGATCGCAAAGCAGTTTACAAGCATTAATACATTAAGCTACATATCTCCCTTGTCCCACATATAGGTGTTACTATCTCAGTTTTGTAGATATGGAAATCTGAGGTATAGAAGTCAGTGGGACTATTCATGGGTGGTAAGCATTATGCATAGCAGTGTATAGACACTGGGTCCCAAGTGTGAGTATTTTAGCATAAAGGTTTGGTGCTTATCCAGACATGAACTCTGAACTAGTCCACAATCATATACACCCAATAATGAATGTATATTTAGACCTGGAATTCTCATGAAACAAATATAAAGATCAGTTCATATCTGGGCATCTGAATATGAAGTAGACAGTTTGTTTATGCTCTTAGATAAAAAAATGTCTCTCTCTCCATGCAGAAGAACTATGAGAAGCCAGTCCCTTCTGCCTTCTGCTATGCAAGGAACTCTTTAAAAAAAACAACTAAGCTAAGTAACTAAGTACTGTATTTATCCAAGATGCCAGATGATAAATTTCAGGTTGTTACCTTCCAAGCCATTAATCAAAATTC